CCGGGCTGGGGATTCGAACCCGCCACCTCAGGTGTACGTGGCTGGCGCCTTAGCTGGTTGAGCCACAGGCGCCGAGCCAATGAGTCTATTCTTAAGGAGGGTACACTGTGTGTCTCTTCTAAGCAAAACTAATGTTAGCTCAGAAAATAAAATTTGAAATGTGTATGTTGAATGGTCCTGCATGTTCATGCTTGTTTCTGAACAGCCAGGAACCCTCTAAGGAGTCCTGCCTAGCTAGGAAGCCGTACAGAAGGGGTCATGCCCCTGGGTCTGGTGTTCCGAGAGTCCGAAGAGGCCTGACTGGCATCCCTGGGCCATCAGCCTCAGAGCTGGAGGCCCTGGGAGCCTGCAGCTTGGTACTCCTGGATTCCCTGTAGTCTCAGCGCAGCTCCAGTGCTGCTAGAGGTTGGCCTGAGGCAGGTTGGCTTGCCTGGTGCATTGAGTAAATTATTAGGTTATTAAATCTGAAATGTCCAATTTTGAATCAAATTTATTATGTCTCCAATAAGAAACAGTACAATTAGTCAAAGTATGGACTTAAAGAGTCACTTTTGCCATCTTAATGGAAGCTCGTTTATGTCAGCAGCAAAGTCTGAAAAGCGAGTGCCCATAAAATCGTGAAAGTCATTTTCCATAGCTTCTTGAGAATTGAGTATTTTTCCTCACAAGAAGTGGTCCAAAACCTGGAAGAAGGGGTCGTCAGTAGGTGCAAAGTCTGGTGGACACAGTGGATGACAGCTTCCAAGCCCAGCTTCTGTAGTGAGAGGAGCATGTCTGCATGACATGTGGCTGAGCATCCTCTTACAAGAGGATCAGCCTGTCTCTATTGGCGAATCTCAGCTGCTTAATCGCAAGCAGGCTTATCATTTCCAGCTGGTTGCAGTCAACGTCTGTAATTGACTGACCACACTTCACAAAGCTGTCGTGGGTGATACTAGCGCTGGACCACCAGACACCATCAGCTTTTCTGGATAAATGTTCAGTTGTGGACTGTGTCTTGGCACTTCACCTTTATCTAGCCACTGTGCTGAATGCTTGCAGGTTCTCAGAAAGAATCCATTTACATCACATGTAACAATATGGTATAGAGATGGTTTGCCTTTATGTGGTAACAGCAAAGAAAGGCAAGCTTTGAGACGATTTCTCTTCTGATGCTCATTTAATTCATGTGGAACCCATATATCCAGCTTCTTTACCTTGCTGATTTGTTTCAGATGGTCCAGTATTGTTGGAATAGTAACATCAGCCTTGCTGCTAATTCACACTAGGTTGAGATGGATTCCCTTCCACTATAGCTCTCAGCTCATCATTATGTCACCTATGTGGCTCTTTTTCAAGATTAAAATCACTAGCATGGATCTTCTCAAACCACTGACCTCGGAAGGTCACTACAAAAGTTTTGAGACAGACAGTGTTGTGGTCCATTATTTCACTTCTAAAAAACATAGTTGGCAACACTGTCCCTTCTGCTTCA